CCCCAAAACCCCAAAACCCCAAAACCCCGTAGAGCAGATATTTAAATGAAATCAGGGAATTGATGAAGTTAATATTATTCAAATTTATTATAGTTTCTAAAAATCAAATATTGAAGAGCTGAGGCTAATTGGGTAATTCTCCTCTATAAAGGTAAGTTTATGTGCCTACCTGTACTTAATAAGATTGTTCTTAGTATGTTACTTGAAACCAAATTCAAATAACTTATTTTCAATCAGATCGTAATCTATAATTGCATCCTAGCCTGCTTTGTTTTGATTAATATATTGATGGTTACCATTCCCATCCAATTAGATTTAAAATCTTTGAGGAACACTAGGATTATTTTCTAGTAAATTATGACTGCTATTATTAAATACTTGTTTATCATTAGAAAATTCCTTAGGTCTAGGAGAATGCACTGCTGTCTTCGGCAGTCTTTAGTATGCTTTAGATTATCTTTGATTTATTGCACTGAGATCAAATTCTGTCGACGTTAGAGGCTTCAATTTCTACTGTGATATTTTACTGCTTTTAGTTTTCAAAGCCTCTTTTTCCTGTTCTTTCTGTTCCTTAACTTTATCTTTATTACCTTTCTACATTCTGTTTTTAAGCTTCATGATTTGTCCAATTCTAGATTGCTTTGTAATCAAATTCCTAATTTAGTTAAACTCAGTAGAAAAGTTTCGCTCTTGCTTGATTTTATCTTATTTTTCATGCAACTCTAAAACTGCCTATCGCTTATCCTGCTTCTCTTTGTCAAATTTTTCTTTTTCTTTTTCCCTAATTTCACTAATCAGTTCTTTTTCTTGCTTGTTGAATCTCTAGTACATTTAAATATTAGCATCCTACTCTACTCTTACTATCTATTTCATTATCATGTTGATTTGTTTTATCTTTTCCACCTCAAATCTTTTCCCCTACTTTTCAAACTTTTATGTTTGCTTGTAATACTCTCTCTTTTGTTCTTCTTCTTATTTACTCATTTCCAACAGTTTGTTATTATCTTACTCGCCAATCATTGATTTTTGTCTGGAATGGCCTCGAGTGACAAACGCAGAATATTAAAGTGACTAGGTGCCTGATTACTTTTTGACTCCTTTTTCGTATCTATTAAGCGGAGTTTACTCTTACGAATTCAATCTAGTTGAGGCTACATTGCTTGAATGCCTCATACTGAAAAAGTTGATTGTCGATCCCTAAGATACATTTTTGCCTGTTTAATTCAAGTTGTTCTTGTTTTGATCAACTTAGGCCTTATAATATCTTGAACTAGGCCAAGCTGTGACAGACTTCGTAGAATTTGGTACAGACATCCCATCATTTATTATGTATTGATTTGATGATCTCTTTGATTACTATTATATATCTTTGAGGGATATATTCTTTAGAGCGCTTGTTGGTTCTTTTGAAGAAACGTGATAAAAACTCTGTTTTCTTTGTGAATGAGGATTTAATATCAATGAAGCTTCTGATTATTGTTTTGGATTGCTAATCATTGATGGCTCTGCAGCTACATCTTAAATGTTTATCTCTAACTTTAGAGTGTCTTCTTCAGGCATCCTCTGTAGATAAATATACTCAACATTATCCAAGTCATGCTTTCTTTGCTTCGTGGTATGATAACTTGGAATTTCCTTTGTTTTTTTAATATGATTAAATCTCATTATCTAATGACCTTCTATCTCCCACCTATCTTTGAGATTTAGGACAACTCCAGTATGCTTTTGCAGCTGCAGTTTAATTTAATTAGGGTTAATTGTTCTTTAGTTATGAGAATCATGCCCCCCTGAATTAGCTAACAGTCTTTTCATTCTTGCATCTCCTCCTTCGATGCCATATTGATCCCATAACTGATAGAGACTCTTAAGAAATATTCCATCAGATAATCCTTGCTGAGTAAATAACTTAATAAAATTCTTCTTCTTCATGTTATAAGAAAGAAGTGCTATCACTAATGCCCTCTTCTTGGCCTCAGTAACACTACAGCAATTAATCTAAACAAAGCTCAGACCGTTGTTCAAACTTAACTACTTATCATGATGACTCACAATCTCATTGTAATCTTTAACAACACTCATTAAGTCGATTGTAGATTTGTGGATAATACCGAGATAGCTATTAAAAAATTAAGTCTCATTGCTTTCTTTATAAATGAACTTATTAAAATCTGGCATAAATCTCTCCATCCAAAGTGGAAATGGGTGATCTCTGAATCTATCATTTAAGTCATTTATGTTTTGAATAACGAGATGATATCCCAAATCATCCATCCCATCATCTGACCTACTCGTTTCTTTCATAGTTGAACTTTCATTATCTTGTATTAGAATCTTTCTTTATGAGAATGTCATATTAGGCTAGGCTAAACTCGGATGATAAAAGTCAAAATTAATTGACTGATCCATAAATCTAAACTAATGAGTTGCTCTTGCTAGTATCTTTTCAATGCTAAGATAAATACTCTCTTCCATATAGATGCAAGGATGATTTATAGTTTTGATAAATTGGTGTATAGATGTCAATGCCTCTAATCTCCTTTTTAGTTTGAAATACTTCCACCATTAAGATATGCAAAATACTGCTCTTTGCTCAATTACAGCCCAAGAAAAGCAATACTCTATTGCTGGGTGACAAAGTAATCTTTTATTGCTCAACATTCCAATTTTCTGTTCTCTCCTAATCAAATATGACCTGAAAGATTATTATATTGAGATAGCTGCTGATACTTTTCTCATTAATGTCGGGAAAAATGCTAGGAAATTCTCATTTATGATATCCTAATTATTTTTGAATATAGCTTAACAGACAGCTCTGACAAGCTCAGTGCTGTTTGGTCTGAACACTAGCAACTCTTAATAATTATCAAACAGTTTTTTAGCCCTAATAGTAGAGTTTTTACTTTATCTTGTGTTGAAAATGATACTGGTGTCGACAGCGTTATAATGGCACATTCTAATTTTAATCCTATCTAAAATAGCTTTTTCTCTCTCCATACCTGAAAATCTAGTGTATACGTTATAAACATGCTAACCTCCTGCAATCAATTTGGTGAAACCTTTTGAAACTCTCACTCTACAGGCATAAGTAGGCATTGTTAGAGAGAGAAGAGGGAATTCTTATCTTTTGAAGTTTAGAGGGTTAGGATATCTAATCAGTGAGAAATTAACATCATTAACTATATATCTTTTGAGATCATCTAGGGCGTAAATTTGCTTGATCTCTTTATTGCTTTTTATCAGATCTACTAGAATCTTATAGAATTCAGCCTTTTACTCCTTTAAAAAATAAATGCAGCAGTCCGCATTTTCTACTCCTAAGCCTCTCATGAAAGAGTTGTATTTAGTATATTTACCTTTCCAAAACTTCTAAATCATTGTAGCACTTTAGTTATACAAACGCTGCTTTCTCTTTTTCCTTATCCAACCATGTGCAGCTTTCTCAATCTTGATGACAGCTCTATACTATCTATACTAATCCTGGGACATTAGCAGATAATCCATATCATTTTATTTCAGTAGCATTTAGAGTTCTTTTTTTATTTTCCTACGATAAAGCCATCCTCTTGCGACCTTCTAAATTCTAATAGCCGCCTACTTCTTCTAAGCATAAGAAAATACTGCTTTAGATCTATAATCATATCCTCTGTATAAGCTTTAAATTCTAATTGATGGAGAGTTTCTTTCAAACATTCTCTTAATTCTATAGATGTCAACTTCAAGGTTGAATAAGTGTTTCTCAGCTGATAAGTTTTCAAGGAATTTTGGAACATGAATTTTCATAAATTGCATACTCATTGCTCTGAATCTAATAGCATTAGGGCTTAGATACTAAATTTTTTCCTCATCGGTGACGATATACTCATCTAAAGCCAACAAGCTTTGCATATGATTCACTAATTAATGCCGATATCCAGGCACTTAAGAAATTGGATTTCTCATCATTGTCAAGTGCATTATAACAGGTGCTTCTGAAATACTGTTTAAGTCGTTCCATTGAGATATCAGATTATCATGCAGATAAAATATTTTCAAGTTCTTAAGTGACAAAAATGTCTAGCCACTTGGAAGTTTCTTAATCATATTGAAACTTAAATCCAATTTTTGAAGTTTATCAAATTTAGCCAAGTAAGATGCCAAATCACTAGTTGCTATTTTATTGTACTACAGATAGCATATAATGAGATTTCGACAAGTTGCAAGGACTCTTAAGCACATTTAAAGGTTCTTATTTCTGAGTGAAATAACATTAATTTCGTCGAGATTTTTGCACTCTGTAAGAGAGAGCAGTAATTACTCGCTAACTTATTCCATTATTTGAATTAAACTAAACTAAATTCTCAATTTACTAAGTTAAGGTTATTTCTGGGGTTTTGGGGTTTTGGGGTTTTGGGGTTTTGGGGTTTTGGGGTTTTGG